GGCAGAGGAGCGGAGAGTGGCAGAGATCGCAGGACACGCGGAGTAGGGGCGGTGGAGAGCCGAGGAGGGGCGGCGGAACCCAGGGGGAGAGGGCGGAGGAATCAGGGAGAAGTGTACTGACCTGTGTCTGCCATCTTCGAGTGGCATTCAGGCGTCGTTGATGCAGAACTCCGAACGGCCAACCGCAAACCATGGCCAACCACAGGCGAGCGGGCGAGCGAGAGCCACAGCTTACAGCACCAGCGTCCAAGCACAGGAGAGAGAGAGAGAGAGAGAGAGAGAGAGAGAGAGAGAGAGAGAGAGAGAGAGAGAGAGAGAGAGAGAGAGAGACTCTCTCTTCACGACAGGGCGCTTCACAATCGGGCGCATGGCGCGCTTCATGACAACAGCAGAAGCACAACACCACCGAATACAATGGACCTAGGGCGCTGCACGACAACGGCCAGTCCAACGGGAAAGTTGGGTTGGCCCGACGTCGTGAACTCCGGTGGTACCCCACGGCACTCGGTGCATCTATCTGAGCCGTCGGTCCGGACTGACGGCCTGGATCTCGGCGTAGTCCTAAGATCTTAAGACCGCATCTATCCTGGCCGTCCGTCTGGTAGGACCCGACGGCCCAGATGGCGGATTTGTTACATGGTTCGGTCGATCTGGGCCGTGAGCCGGTAGGACCGACGACGGCCCGGATTTCAGATTTGTCACCTTAGCGATTTTAATAGTGTAGGGACAAGCCATACCTTGTTGAAGTTGGCGACCAACTCTATTACCATGCCATTCACCACACCCTTGCCTAGATTACGATATCAATACTGGCATACTGCATGTTCTATTACCATGCCGTTTACAGTGTGATTACCATGTCTTTTACTGTGCAGTTAATATGCTGTACGCTGTCTGAATCAGATTACCACATTTCTTAGATTTCTATCAAATTGTAAATAACTGCCATCTTTTCGGTATTTGGTGGCTTTTTTTGTTTCCACTACAATAGCTTTAAGCACATTCTGAGTGTTGCGACCCATTTACCACACCGTTGACCATTCCGTTTACCACGTGGTTTACCACTCTGTTTACCACAACCTTTACCACGCCGTCGCATCAAGAAAGTGGCGTGGTAATAGCACAGTTAATGGCGTGGTCAGCGGTGAGGAGTAAGCCGTAAACGGCATGGTAAACGCCATTTACCACTCCGTTTACCAGACCAGACCGTTTACCCTGCAGTGAATGCTAATGCGTTAGCCCTAAAAAAACGCATGGTAAATGCTGACCAAGGCGTTTAAAGTTTAGACTCTTTCCCATTGTCAAGACAAAGAAGGGCATAAGGACACACATGAGGATGCTGAAACCTTTCGGCGTTTGCAAATCATAGAAGGAGACGAATCTGGATAAAGAGATAAGAAAAGGGTTACTATACTCAACAAGTTCTCCCTCAAGAGTTGCGCAATCCAGTCGGTACATAATCCCGCTGTCTGTTCCCGCTAATATGGATGATCCATCCTGCAGTGGAGACAAGCTGCATTTGCAAACAAGAGATTGTGCCTTTATTAGTTATTAACTTAGTAACTTATACTAAGTTACAAGAGACTTATTTAAGTTATTATTAGTTATTATGCTATATTGCTTATTAAATTAGTATGGCTACGTCGGACTCGGACCCGGACCCGGACCTGGACCCGGACAGCTCATGTCCGGGGACCGGATTGCATATTAAGTTATATTGGTTATTAAAATTAGCATTACTCAATCGGTATGGGATGTCCTGGAGTGTTCTCGTGCTTTAACAGACAGGTATACCATGCACACGCTCCGCGCCATGGGACAATTACGCATGCCCGATTTGTGACCCCCATTCTCCTTCTGGAGTGCTTCTGCTGCTAAAACCCCACTTACAGTTTGTGTCCCCCTTACTGAGCGGGTTCCTGCAGACATTTTTCCGCCCGTCTCCATTCCCATACTTAGGGTATATTCACATTAGGACTTTTCGGACTCAGATCTGGACGTGATTGCAGTCAGATGCATCGAGGTACAGCCGTAATTGCGGCCAGATACATTCAGCAAGGCACTAGTGGGAGTAGCCCTTTTTGTTCTAACTCCACCCACAGCGCTCCTCTGATGTCTGCCACTCTGCCTCTGTCCATAAAAGCATACTACCAGGCTGCCATATCTTTTTCTTGGGAGAACTAGGGTGTAGTCAAGGTTTTCAGTTTTAAAATTTAAATGCGTTTCAGTCACCATTTCGTGAATTTTTTACTCCAAAGCAAGGAAAATCGTGAATGTATCCAACCCAGCTTTAGGGTTGGGTGGGGATGTGACATATTCGAGGGATGTCTGAAGTGTATTTAAAAGTTAGAACTGAAAACGTAACTGCGCCGTAGTTACCCCCTTTTTTTAAATTTG